TCTATCTATCTATCTATCTATCTATCTATCTATCTATCTATCTATCTATCTATCTATCTATCTATCTGTCTGTCTGTCCGTCCTTCCTTCCTTCCATTCGTCCATCCGTCCATCCATCCATCTATTCGTCTGTCTGTCCATCCATCCTTCCATCCATCTCTTCATCTGTCTGTCCATCCATCCATCCTTCCATCCTTCCTTCCTTCCATCCATCCATCCATCCATTCATCCTTCCATCCATCCATCCATCCTTCCTTCCTTCCTTCCTTCCTTCCTTCCTTCCTTCCATCTGTTAGTTCATCCATCCATCCATCCATCCATCTATTCATCTGTCTGTTCATCCATCCATCTCTTCGTCTGTCTGTCTGTCCATCCTTCCATCCATCCTTCCATCCTTCCTTCCTTCCTTCCACCCATCCATCCATCTATTCGTCTGTCTGTTCATCCATCCATCTATCCTTCCATCCATCCATCCATCCTTCCTTCCTTCCTTCCTTCCTTCCACCCATCCATCCATCTATTCGTCTGTCTGTTCATCCATCCATCTATCCTTCCTTCCATCCATCCATCCATCCATCCATTCATCTCTTCGTCTGTCTGTCTGTCCATCCTTCCTTCCATCCTTCCTTCCTTCCTTCCTTCCACCCATCCATCCATCTATTCGTCTGTCTGTTCATCCATCCATCTATCCTTCCTTCCATCCTTCCATCCATCCATCCATCCATCCATCTATCTATCTATAAAACATCAAGCTTCAAAACCGAATTCAAATCAGATTCAAGAAGCCCCGCCCTCCACAGACATATACGTGATTGACAGGCTGAGAGTGATTCTGGTTAGACCGTCGTCTGACCGACTCTAGTGCCGTCACAGAGACAGATTTGATTTCTTTATTTCACGGATGTTATTTCATGTGTACTCTTCCCCCCCAAAAAAAAAAAGCAAGCTATTTTTAGCCAGTCACTCACCATCACTGACAGTAATGCACTGACAATGGGAAACAATCCATTTCCAACAAAGCCTGAATTCCCTGTGCAGTAGTTTTTCTAACAGAAAGCAACTTTATATTAAGTTTTTGCAAACTTATTTGCACGATGAAGGAGTCATCTGTGTTTGAACAGTCTTCATGGAGAGAGAGTGTTTTATTTCTGCTGAGTGCTGCTCTTAGATTCGACTCAGAGAAGAAAAACTTCTAATCAGTCTTCAGGGAGCCGCAGATATGGACACAGCGCAGGGAAACAGTTAACAGGGACGGGAAAACAGCACGCTCAGGGAGGCAGAATCCATCGCGTCCCGCCGATCAAGCACTAAAAATTACGCTAGAAGAGCGTCTCGAGGGAAAACTTCCCCTTCTTAATTCCCTCACTTTGTCTCGTTCTCTCCATCATACTGCAGTCTATTCAGAAAGAGCAAGCATTAACCGTGTGAACTTTACTTTGACTAAACAAACGCTTCATCCTGTAGAGCAGTGATTCTCAACTAGAGCATCACGAGCCAGAATCGGCTCACAGGGCTGAGTAGACGTCCGTCAGTATTACACATGCTAAATGTATCCAGAGCAACTTGCAAATGAGAATAATAGAAGCAGAAGAGATTCATCCAACAGAGAAAACAATACAAGTGTCAGAGCAGAACAACGCTAGAGAAGAAGCAAACAGATTCGTTACTTAATTTAGTCAAGCGCACCAGGAAGCAAAGGTCGGGTGTCAACACACAGGAAGATAAAAATGACATATTCTAATATATGCATGTCTAATACATAATTATATATAAATCGGAACCGGTTTTTAGTTTTATTTTGGCCGATCTCTATTCCGAAATTGCACAAAAACTGCATTGCAATCATTTCCCAAAATGTAATTTGTGAGGAATTTTTCTAAAAGTGGAGAAAGTACTGTACCAGGCAGATCAAGCTCACTGTTCGCGATGCTCGAAATACATGAATAATATAAATGTATCTCTGAGAGGAGCTGACCATCTCCAGAAATGTTTCAATGGCATTTTCTTTTCCTCTTACCTTCATATAATGCATATTACAGTAGTGTTTATAAGCGCAGCGCTGCTTTGTTTACAGCGGTAACCGAGGAACCGCTGTATCACTGCTGTTCCATGAGCGCCACCTGCTGTCAGACAGTGAATTTGCATCTCATTCAGAGCTTCTGCTGTGTTTGTTTTGCGCAGGTGTCTGATGTAGCATAATTTCACAAATCTAAAGTCAGGCCAATTCTGTTTTTGTATTAAATCTTGAAATTATACAGTCTAATTGCAAATCAAAAACAACTGGTCATGCAACATACATGTAGCAGTAGCGTCTGTTCAAAATAAAATTAAAATGAAAAATGTTCCTGTTGTACTGAACTCGTATCGAACCGTGACACCAAAACTGAGGTACGTGACTTCTGTGTACCATTACACCCCAAATATTAAATATTAAATATACACCCCTAGTATTAAATTAGTAGTAGTAAATATTTATATATAATTTATATATATATATATATATATATAATTAGTTTTTTATTTTTATTTTAATACTCCTTTCAGCAAGTAGCGCTCCAATATGTTTTCTTTGAGTCATTAAATAATTATTATTAATTTTATTTTATAATTACTATTATTTAATAGTATTATTGATTATTATTCATTTTAATATTGATTATATTAACATTAAATAATATGATATTTTTATATTTTGTATTCATTTAATTTTATAGTACATCGGTGACTGAACACACTTAACTGAACCATATAATTAGATGTTGTATGTAGATACATTTTATTTGTTGCGTAGAGCTGTGTGTGTGTGTGTGTGTGTGTGTGTGTGTGTGTGTGTGAGAGAGAGAGAGAGAGAGAGAGCGCGAGTGTATATGTGTGTATGTTTTCCTAATCATCTGGGCATTACAACTATAATTAGTGTTGTTTGCCAAGTCAAGCGTACTATTGCATACAATTAGTGTTGGTGATATAAACAAACATTAAAGTTCAGCATGTAATTTTTCCCATTTGTGCTGTAGACATGATCAGGATATCAGAGAGACTTGAGAGTGGAATCGTGTGTGCGTGTGCGTGTGTGTGCGTGTGCGTGCGTGCGTGTGCGTGCGTGTGTGTGCGTGTGTCTGCGTGCGTTCGTGTGCATGCGTGTGTGTGCGTGTACGTTATGGGGACCAAATGTCTCCACAAGGATAGTAATACTAGTATATTTTGACCTTGTGGTGAAATTTTTGAGGTCCCCATGAGGAAACAAGCTTATAAATCATACAGAATGAGTTTTTTTGAGAAAGTAAAAATGCACAAAGTCTCCTGTGAGGGGTAGGTTTAGGGGTAGGGTTGGTGTAGGGCAATAGAATATACGGTCTGTACAGTATAAAAACCATTACGCCTATGGAGAGTCCCCATAAAACATGGAAAGACAACATGTGTGTGTGTGTGTGTTCTCACCTCTGTTCTCTGTGATGAATGGAGAGTATGACCCCAGAGTTGAGTTTCTCCTGTCTGAGCGTCAGCGCGATGGTGAACTCACTCTTTCCTCGGAGTTTCTGCAGCATGCGGCCCGCGGCGGCGTCTGGGACCCTCACGCTCCGGGACAAGCCTGCAGAGAGGGAATCCATTAACATTTCACACGGACACAGAGACGATCACAGGACGATCACGCTCCACCCGTGTCTCCTACTGAAGGTAGAGATGCACCGCAGAATGTTCTCCATCAATAATGAAAAAACAAATCATAATTCATTACCATATGAAAGCCTGGGGAAAAACTCAACATTTGAGTTTGAGTGAAATGAGCAGTTAGTCTTCAACTAACACGTCTGAGTAAAATTAAACCAGTCTTCACTGCTGGACACAAGACATGTGAGCTGGTCTGGTTTGAGAGAGATTTTGGGCTCTTTTCAGCTGGCTAAGACTGGATTAAACCAGCTCAGACCAGCTCAGGCAGGTGTTCTCAGCTGGGATTCTGGGAAAACAACAACTGAAAACTCTTAGAGATGCACGATTATGTCAAAGCAGTAAAGTATAGAAATGCTTCCTTCAAGTCCTGTAGAAATGATTGTATTTGTGAGTTGAACATGCACAGGAATGGGGAAATGGGAAAGAATTCATTAAATATGAAATAAAATAAAATATAATAAAATAAATGTATATTAGACATGTATATGATTATATATTTATGTAAATAATATATACATATATTCAATTCATATATATATATATATATATATATATATATATACTCCACCAATAGAAACTGGTATTTAGAATAAATATTTAAGTGATATTTAAGTGTGTGTGTGTGTATAATGTATATACATATGAATAATTACTGGATAATTATTATTATATTAATTAAATTGTAATATAAATAATACAATTCCCATCATGCATTAATAAAAATATATTGTAATTAATAGTAAAATAATATATATATATATATATATGAATACAGTATATGCACAGACCTTCTTAGGAATAAAAGTAATATATTGTCTAAACTTATATACTTGTGAACAGAAGCTACAACAAATATAATTTTTTTGCATTTCCATTTCCTCGAATAGCAGAAGAAAATGGATCCAAAATAGCGTTTCTATGACTTTCCAAAAGAGAGAGAAAAAAACAACACATATATTGGCTAAACTTATATACTTGTGAACAGAAGCAAAAAAAACAACAACAACCATGTATATATATATATATATATATATATATATATATACTCCACCAATAGAAACTGGTATTTAGAATAAATATTTAAGTGATATTTAAGTGTGTGTGTGTGTATAATGTATATACATATGAATAATTACTGGATAATTATTATTATATTAATTAAATTGTAATATAAATAATACAATTCCCATCATGCATTAATAAAAATATATTGTAATTAATAGTAAAATAATATATATATATATATATATGAATACAGTATATGCACAGACATACCATCTATAGAAATTGGTATTTAAAATATATTTTTAAATATAGTTAATAAATTAACTTTAATATATAATAAAGTAATAACTATAATTAATTATATATTATAAATTATATATATATATTGTGCTGTGTGATAAAACTGCACATTTTAGAGTGGTCTTTTATTGTGGCCAGCCTAAGGCACACCTGTGCAATAATCACGCTGTCTAATCAGCATCTTGATATGCCACACCTGTGAGGTGGATGGATTGTCTCGGCAAAGGAGAAGTGCTCACTAACACAGATTTAGACAGATTTGTGAACAATATTTGAGAGAAATAGGCCTTTTGTGTACATAGAAAAAGTCTTAGATCTTTGAGTTCAGCTCATGAAAAATGGGGGCAAAAACAAAAGTGTTGCGTTTATAATTTTGTTCAGTGTATATCACATATTACTATCAGCTAATGTGCCTCTTTTGAGCATCATTCATTTGCATTAGTGCTAAAAGCTTCCTATCCTGTTTGTATTTGTAGAAACAGAAAGCTAAAATTGTCTATTTTTTTTTTGTGTCAAGCCAAAATCAATTCCATAATTTCCCAAAAAGTCTTGAGGGTGACATAAACGGCTCATTCCTGTCACAGTAAACAGCAAACCGCTTCTGAGATCAGGTGTTCTGGTGCACGGTGGTTTGCAGTAATATTACGGGATGTGAACGGATCAAACGCAGGGGTGATGGGAAAGTCACAGTGGATTATGTGGATGTTGATGTCAGCATCAATTATTAATAATCTCCCGTCTGACAGACACACGACACAATCAGTGAATCTGAGCGCACAAATCGAGAGGTTTCTAACACTCGTATGATTCCTCCCAGCACACGGCGGCTCCTCCTCCTCCTCCTCTTCCCCATCTTCCTCCTCCTCCTCTTCCTCCTCCTTCCTCCTCCTTTTGCTCCTCCTCCTCCTCTTCCTCCTCTTCCTCATCTTCCTCCTCCTCCTCCTCGTCCTCCCCTTCCTCTTCCTCCTCCTTCTCCACCCCTTCTTCCTCCTCTCCTCCTCCTCTCCTCTTCCTCCTCCTCCTCCTCCTCTTCCTCATCTTCCTCCTCTCCCTCCTCTTCTTCCTCCTCCTCTTCCTCCTCTCCTTCTCTCCTCCTCCTCTTCCTCATCCTCCTCTCCTCCTCCTCCTGCTCCTCCTCCTACTCTTCATCCTCCTCCTTTTGCTCCTCCTCCTCCTCTTCCTCCTCTTCCTCATCTTCCTCCTCCTCCTCCTCGTCCTCCCCTTCCTCTTCCTCCTCCTTCTCCACCCCTTCTTCCTCCTCTCCTCCTCCTCTCCTCTTCCTCCTCCTCCTCCTCCTCTCCCTCCT